ATGATTTCCTCGAGTCTCTTCAGTTGCAAGGCAACCATACTGGGACCGATTCGCGTCGTTCCACTACTGCCCTTGGTGGGGGCCCGCTACCATACTATATGACTCCCGGAGTTTACTAAAGCACGTTAGTGGAGGAACCAACCACAGTCTCACAATCTGTCTCCGGCAAGAGCGGCCAGAGAACCAACCCATGCCAAGGGCCGGTAAACGGTTGGACCTTCGGACCGGGTGTCCGTAGTGACAATGATCAACAACTCCGTACCTGGGGCTCGAACGCGGGACCTCCGTATCCCACGACGTTCAACCGCAAAGTAGCCTCAGTCTACGCCACTAGGCTACCCTGCTTAGGTGTCAAAACTGCTAAAAAATAATGTAGTTGTTACAATTATTTGCTTGGATAAACATGATGTTGCATTTCTTAATTGATTAATACGATTTAGTTGGAATTGAAGTTCGACCAACGATCAAGGCAATGCAATCAACAACTCTTGCAAATGTGAACGGGAATCGTAAAGACAGAAAGTACAAGAATCGTGATCAATGTAAAGTATTTTTGAATATCGGGTAGGAGAAACATTCCAAAATGAAGAAGAATCATTTAGAACATTTGATTTGTTGCCAATATATCAATTGCGTCTCAAATGAATGAAATAAAAGGTATCGCGGCCAAGCCGGTGAGTGAAAACGATTATAATTGACGCATCTAGATCGCTCAATATAACGGTAAGTGAATAGGTTTGTGTAGATACGTCCAGGAAAATAAGCTATTTCGACGCTTGAAATAATCTGATTACACTTATTAATAATTACGCGTGGCTATTAAACACAAATGTTGTGTAGAACAAAAACAAGAAAACTGAACGACCTATTAAGGAACTGTACTTCAGTTTCAAAGTGCTCAAGATATTTCCGCATGTTCAAAAACACAAAATATTTTAGGCTATCCATATTTTGTCAGATATCTCTGAAGAATTTACACTCGCTACTCAAAATGAGACACGGACACGAGTACAGAGAATAGCCTAAGGGGGGGGGGGCAGTGAAGGCATCTAGTTTTTGCACTGTTATTTAACTTTATTCAAATTCTGGAGATTTTCAAGTTTTCTAAAAATAATCGGGCTAAATCCCCAGTAACACACTGTTGAAAAACCTTTAAAAAGTTCATTTACTCTTACAAGGATCACAATTTTAATGTGAAATCGCAATCCATATGTCAAAAATATCATATAGTTACATCCTAATGGTGTTTTAAGTTGATTCAAATGGAATTACTTGTTAAATCAATAAATTAAGCGACTCTTGTCATGTTATTTAGCCCTACCTATAGCCTACCTACCCATGATGCCGTCTATTTTTCCATGTGTGGCTAGCCATGCTCTACCACGATGAATAAATGCACGTAAACCTTTGATTTGTAGAATCGTGTTTTTAAAGTAGAATACGTAATGCTTGATTTCTCGGTTATTAGACGGACCAATTTCATTTTTTTGTATTTAACGACATATTAGATGATAAATTTTTATTACTATGCCCCTCATAGTAGTACTTGAATCATGACAATAGAACGCATGGAACATCGTTAAATTCCAAGCAGAAATAAATAGAAGCATGGAAGCATTTTATAAATCCTGAGGAAGGTAACTGTTAAAGTAAACTGTATGTTCCACTAATGAAAACTTTTGTTTGTTCTATAATTGTTTTATTTATTTTAATATCAAATAAAAACAATTTACATACAGTTACATTCAATACCTACATACAGTGTACACTACAATACAGATCAACAGAAAATGAATACCTGAAAAAAGAAGTGGTGACATATTGTTAAAGCCACCATGTTTTCGAAACCAGCACCAAGGGACATTATTTGGCATCTGTAACACTTGTTACACTTTTTAGGAGGTAATATCTTGGGTGCCTTGTCATTGAGGAAGCTACCAACTTCTATTTTCCTCATTCAGTGTAAAACTGAATTTCAACAGTTTCTTAATTTCAGGGGAACAGTTCCCTTGAGGTTGTAAAGAAATTATGCAAATATTGAAATGAAACATTCTGATTGGTTAGACCATGTCACGTGACTTATCTGGTGTATTCTGTTTGGTCGAATTTTGCACATATTGCCAAATTTTGTTAGAGATTCCCTTTAGTTCTTGTCAGGTATGTTACGCAGTATATGGCATACATCCATGGTTGCGCGGTATTTGTGATACGGGTGAATATGCCATACTCACATTCGGCATATGCGGGCATATTCCGCAGGTGAGTATGCGATATTCCGCAGTGAATGTGAGATACATTGATTTCAGTGAATACCCGATACTAACCTGAGGAATATGTCATACTCACTTGCGGAATATGCCATATACGGGATGTGAATATGACATATACCGCAGGTGAAAACGTGATACAGAAAGCCTTGATTTGATTGGTTGCAAGAATCAACTCTAAATGTAAAACTACGCTGGATTACCAATATGGTGAGTGCGTCGAGTACTAATATATGAATCCTGGATTGATTGAGTAAGTTTATAACGTGGGATTGGTGACTGATACTCTGCTAAGTTAATATATTTGATACAAAATACTGTTGATTCAGTGATCATTATAATAATTTATAAAGTTTTACTTGTTCGTTCAATCGATGCAATTGACAATTGCGTACTTCCGTATCACGTTCTCATTGGTTAGTGTGTATGCCATATACCACAGGTGAATCTGTCATACACCGCAAGTGAATATGCCATATTCGTTGCGGAATATGACATATTTTTGTATTGTGTTTACTGCGTAACAAGGTAGTCCTGTCTTGTCTTCAACAGAAAAATAAAACTATCTGTCAAATCTTTTGTGCCAGGCACAGAAAAATTGACCCATCTATTTGGGAAATTTATCTTGCCAGGAAAAACAGACGCATCTATCTGGCAAATCTTTCATGCCAGACACATAAAAACTGACCAACACATGTGGCAATTTATGAAAGTTCTACAAATGTCTACATCAGTAACAACAGTCCCATCTGTAGTTTCTTGAAAATACCTGGATGGTTATCCCTTGCAAATAATTTCTACACAATGAAGGACAAATTCTAATCAAAAAAATCATTCTAATATTATTTGAGAGGCTGTTTATACCTATGTGCACAGTTACGTAGTGGTCTTAAAAATTACTGTCTTGTCATTCTTTTTTGTTACCATGGGAATTTGAAAAAATAGAATACTTATGTTCACATTAATGGTCTTGGCTGAACACAGAGAGAAAAAAGGCTTGATTGTAAATTAAAGTAAAACAAAAAACATGTAAGTCAAGGTTCTGAAAATTTATTGAAAAATATTGTAATGTTATAATATTACAATGAATGCACCAATCAAACTCAGCAGCTATTAGAATAATATATTATTATAAAATAGGGCAAACTTCAAAACTGGATAATAAACAGGTGGATAGACATTTTCAAAACAAGGGTAATGCCAGAGTAGCTGGTATAACTTTATCACAAATTACTGAATTTCAAAATATTTGTATCAACATTACTTATTTTAATCAAATCTTTGCCTCAATATTTTTTACAATGACTTGTCACATTTTCATTCAAAATGGCTGCCTAAATGACTCACAGTAGAAAATGTACATGTTTATTTAAGCTATACCGGATTTTCTCGCATATACGCCCCCCTAAATTTAGGCCCATGGGCCAAAAATCGAATGTAGTACACTTATACGCCCATGGGCCTATAAAAAATGACTATTTATTGATTTTTCAATAAAATCAAGAGTATTTTGTCAATGGCAGATCGTTCTGTCGTTACTTTGTTTCAACATTAATATAAGTTCAACGCTGTGCCGTAAGTGGCAGTGGTGGATCGTTCTGTTGTTACTTTGTTTCAACATTAAGTCCAAGGTTGTAGGTGACATTTCCTTTATAATTCTTACAAAACATGCGGTAGGACTACAACAGTAGGTACGGTAGTCTTTGAGGAAGATGGCTGATGCCCACCATCTTCTCACCTTTACGCCCACTGGGCCAAAAATCGAAAGTAGTACACTTATACGCCCGTGGGCGAAAAATAAGAGGTAAAATAACAGACGAAATTACCCCTTCTTTCAGTTATACGCCCAGGGCTTATATGCGAGAAAATCCGGTACCAACCTCGAAAATGTTGGATATACTACTTCTTTGAGAAACACTGTTGCATTGAGGCTACATCAACATATATTACATATGAAAAAATTATTGAACAAAATGTGGAAAACAAAACTTACAACATCAATAATGAACTTTGCTTGCATTTATCTATTCAGGATTGTGTCCAGGATGCAGACATAAAAATTATACTTCTATGAGATATTATTTTTTAAATAATAAGTTACACATTCTTCATTGAATTAGGATGTTCATGACCAACCCATTCAGTTTATTTGTGAATACAGCAAAACCTAATTTTTTGATCGTTAGAATTTTGTAAGGTGCTCTAAATTTACCAGATCCAATCAGACCAGTAGTATGTTTTATGCACTTAATTATGGAAGACAATCATAATTCTTATATTACACACTGTTCTAAGTTTCAAGTACACCAGAATACACAAAAGGGTCTCACCCTTTGGCAAAATAAACAGAGTGGCAAATTACAGACAAAATGAATTCTTTTAAAATAAAAATTTAAAGTTGCATAGCAAAATCGCCTTATGTTTCATATTTGAAAACTAGACAATGATACATATCAATTATTTTGTGGACCTAGACCTAGCAATTGGCATAATATACAAGAAACTTATCTAAATATCACAATATTTCTGGTTTCATTATTTGACATTACAAATGATATTACACTTATAGGCTCATTCAAATTGAACAGGGGTTCAATTTTGGTATGATTGTGACATACGATTCTGAGAAAACCATTGTCTACATTTTGATGAATAATGACTTATGTAACATACCATTTCAAGAAAACCATTGTCTACATTTTGATGAACAATGACTTGTGTAACATACGATTCCAAGAAAACCATTGTCTACATTTTGATGAACAATGACTTTTGACCAAATCATATGTTCTGACGGTTCCAAAAGTGGACCCCATTGAACAAGAATATTTTCTCCCAGACTTTGAGTACAACAGTGGCGAGATCATCATCGTGGGTGAGAGTCAAAATACCCATTCTTAAGTTTAATGTTACTTCAACAAATAAATTGAGTTCATTACTACGCTATCTTTGAACCAGCTGATTATATGAACATAAAAAGCTTTAGTCAGCATTCTACAGCTAAAACTACCGACTACAATAATTACAGAACAAATACAAGACCTATGATGCTATGCTTCTATGCAGAGTTCTGCTCTATGAGTTTATCCCTTTTACTCTGAAATATATGGAAACTGTCCTTCTGTACTAGTATGCTATTGTTATAATTATGCTAAGATATAAAATAATATTTAAGATAATTTTGCAAGAAATTTCCACGAATAAGTTTTTGTTTTGTTTTTAGGGGAAGAATCAGGACTTCTATGCATCTCGTTTGTTTATGAACACAGGCTTTAAGCTAACAGTTAGTAATACTAAGCTACCATATTGGGGACAATAAATATCATATACACAAAATGGAATTAAATCCCATTCCCAATCGGTCATATACAATGTTAATAACTATACTTCAGACATTTGATATAACTATGAAAATCCAGTACACAGCCTCAGAAAAATTTACAAAATAAGGGGATCTCCCCATATAAATTGATGAAGGATTAGCCATTCTCTGAGGCTGCGTTTAGGACTGTTTTACTAAAGTTGCCTATATAATGTTTCTCAAGTTCACCCTGAACTGCTTTGAAAAAATTGCATTCTTATCTCAAGAGATCATTACATTGAATCTCATTCATGAAAATTAATTTTAACGCTTTATAACTTCAAGCATTGAAATGTTTTATTGGAAATTATGCTCTAATATGTCACATTGATAATGATAACATTGATAATATAGCACCAAATTTAAATGTACCAAAGAAAATGCACCAAATGAAATCTGAAACACATGAGATTATTTATTTTGACACGAAAGTCGAAAATAATTTTATGAAGAAATCATGAATTGATCTTTTCTTACAAGTTGCCAAATAATATATAATTTCTCATATTCTCAAGATTTCTTTGAGTCAAAAGTGCGACAGAGAACTAAAGCTTGAGCACATATATCTCTAGCTTCATCAATTTCATTTATATTACTTTCACTATAGCTACTTCTTTGAAGTTTGCCATTTAGAGAGTCTCCAAGTTGATCGATTTTGTTCATCACATCGTCTTTATGGATTTCCACTGTATTGGAGGAAATTCTTTCGTTCAGAAAGGTGTCATTTATAAAGTCACTGTGTTCCACATTATATAACGTTGTAGAATGAATACTTTCTGTGGCAACACCAGAAACATTATCGAGCATGAAAGTGTCAATTTCAAATTCATCGTAAGAGAAATCAAGAATATCGCCAGAGGAATTTGAACCCTGGCTTCCCAAGCTGTATCTCTTTGTTGGATCATTTGAATTTGAGAATTTTTTCTTTGGTCGTTTCAGGATCCCTCTTGGTTCTGAGATCTCATTGAGAATCTCTCCGGATGAGTTGGAACATGTGCTACCGAGACTGTAGCGCTTTGTTGGATCATTTTCAGAGCCAGAATATTTCCCATTTCTTTTAAGAATACTTTTCGGTTTCTTTGTTGTTTTATCACGAGGCACACTCTCATATTTTCCAGCTGAAGCTTGTTTCACTATGCCGTCTGCTGTTAAAGGAAAATCAAATGCATTATGGGAAATGTCAAGGTCACCTGGTGAGGCTGGTGTGGTAGCATCATCTGTAATATCTAAGCTGTCTAATATGGCTTCAATGTCATGCAATTCATATCCTGGAGAGAGAGGAGGGGTTTGAGATTCATAATCTTCATCTTGCATAGATCGAATTTTCTCGAGAGTTTCTTGTGGTAGATTATCATCTAACACGCAACCACTGTCACTTCCTGTATACTTCTTTGGCCGATTATTGCTATTTTTCAAAATACCTCTTTTGGGCTTTTTGTTTGAATCAAATATAGGGCTCTCGATTCTTAGTGATGATTTCACAACTGCGGTTGATTTTGAGTCAATACTCTGGTCTTGTGATTGCTTTAGTACATTAAGTGAATTGTCTCCACCTTTATCTGGTGGAGTGTTTTCATCATGGCTGTCATCATTCAGATAAATTGCTTCATCATTTTCTAGTAACTGTTCACATTGGGCTGAACACTCATCAATGTCTGCATTTTCATCTTGCTCACTTGGCTGATTATACGAAGATACTGTTGCTGAAGGAATTTCATTGTCCTCACAGTCTATCCTGATATCTATGTTATGAGCAACATTTTGAGCACCAGTGTTTTCATGAGTTGTAGTATTTCTAGCTCTGTAAGTTTGTATGTTGAAGTCTTCTGTGTTTAACTGCTCTTCAATTGGTGAGGTTTTGTAGCCAACATTCACCCACCAGTGTTTATCAATATCGGCTATAGTGGCACGCTTATTTGGCTCGACGGTCAATAGATGGCGAATAAGACTGCTGGCATCTGTAACCATAGAAACCATGTCATTATCAATCAACTTATCAATGGATATAATATAAACATTAGATTCAAGCCATATTGAGATTAAACAGGTTTTACAATGCCATAGTAACACATTATAGAATATTAAACTAAAAGGAACATTAATAACTCACAACTAATAATGATAAGGCGATAAGTTCGTAAATAATGAAACATCCGCCAATTAAGTGCCCAAGATAAGCATACTTTAATTATTTAATCTACTTGCTCACGAATTAACTGACATTTGTCACATGTCTACATGAATATGACATTTTGCTATTAACCTCGAAATAAATTCATGACTTCAAAGACCTTGAATTTCATAATGTAATTAAATTCTAAAATTCTAACATGAAAACCTAATTAGCAAGGTGCTACACTGGACATGAAGAAGTATTTGAAGGTCAGATTAAATATTGATGACTTTTTGTGAAAGATGGCCTGATCCTAATTTATCAGTACTACAAGAATGGCTACCACTTTAATCTTTTAACTAGTGTATATGAAAGTCCCTTGTTAAATCTTAGAGCATCAATATCTTGTAAATCAATGCTCAAGAAAAAAATAAAACAAGGCAATAAACATGCAAAATGTCACCACCTGCCATTTGTTGTTCCTTACCTGAGCATCTTGATGGCTCATAGAATTCCCCATCAGATATCTGTTGTCTTAAGCGTTTGAAGTCACTTCCATCAAACGGCATAGCACCATAGACCAATGTATACAACAGCACTCCTAGACTCCAGCAGTCGACCTATAACATTTGAAATCAGATTCATAATCAGTCTCTGAATTACCCACATGTTGAATAATTTGTCTTCAGTGGGTATACCCCCAATCCACAAAATGTACCGTACAATACTGTTCTAGTCTACAGTACGGTTCTGTTGTGGATTAGCAGTTTAAGAATGAGATTACAAAATTTATTTTGAGTTAATATCAGGTATTTCAAAGCTGAAAAATTTAAAAAATCTCAATTCATAATGATAATTGTAAAAATATTTTTATCAACACCAAGATAAATACTAATCATTATATTTATTGGCAAGTGAAGTGATTTAATTATAATATAACACTCTCACACAGCAGATTTGATTGCAAGCCATCCAAATTGAAATTCCTTTTCTGACAATTCTGATGCAGAATCCATGTCTACCCTGGATCTCTATCAGATTTTCACTCAACCCTTTAACTATTACAGAATACTTTATAGTTTCCATACTGATATAAGATCAACAAGAAAGCAACAATATATGTTAAAACTGCTTTAGCGTTTTTGTAGTCAAACTCAATGTTATCAAGATAAGGTATGCGAAACCTTTGTTTAAACTTCAACTTTGTTGTGCGAAAATGTTGAATGTATATTTTTTCCTTGAAATAGCTTTAAGGATCACACACATCTAGTATTAATCAGTGTCAACTCTATGAAGTATACATCCTACATTATTTGGTACAGGAAAAATATGACTGATATATGCTTTCTTCAAAGGTATATTGTATAAAGATTTAATAGGTGATTTTTCTATCTCTGATTTAAAGTGAGAGCCAAGCTTTTATAAAGGGTAAGCGGTGTCCAATGGCTTTATATAATAATTTGATGCATATTGCCTGCATATTGTAGACACCACAAAATTCCAAATATTTACCTTGAGCTGAAGGTATGTCAAGTAATTATCTTACCTCAGGCCCAAAGTATGGCAGGCCATTGACTATTTCTGGTGAGGCATAGAGAGGACTACCACAGAAAGTGTTCAGTAATGAGTCATTGTTGTAGATGTTTGACAAACCGAAATCAGCAATCTGGAAAAAACAGACATCGGATGCTTTAAAAATGTGTGCATATTCATTACTCCACAGACTTACATATTCATGACACAAATGTAATTTCTGAATTGAATTGAAATGTGTATTGAATTCAACAGTGAGATATGGTTTAAAAAGATATTATCTCTTTAATTTGATCTTCAACCATATCATCTTTGAGAAATTGAATGAATTTTTTACTTGGAATACAGCATGTTGTAAACATGAGTCAAACATTGCATCAGTTCTTAAAATTTGAAATTAGGGGTAGCAGTCATTGAAGAGTAAAGAGGGGGAGGGGCACTTACCTTGACATTACCCTGAGAGTCCAGTACGATATTCTCCAACTTCAAGTCACGATGAACGATATCATGCTGAAAAATATCGAATGAACTATTTATTGTATTGTGCATATTGATATTTAATAAAGAGGAAGAGTGGTGGCACAATAGCCTGTTAAATAGTATTTTATATCAGTTTCTATACACTAGAAAAATGTTGCAATTTCGCCAAGGGTTACTATGTGTTTCAATAAGGCTTAGAAAAATGCAATATAAATGAATCAGATGTCAAAAATTCCCCAAATTCCTGATATTCAATTGACTTTTATAAATTTATACTTATAGCAACATCATAACTCAATAAGTAACTGACACATATGCTTAGTAAACATTTTCTACCTGGTGGCAGTAATCTACTGCAGAGACAATTTGGCGAAAGAATCTCCGTGAATCGCTGTCCTTCAGACGGTGTCTATCATTAATGTACTCGTACAGCTCCCCACCATTGGCGTATTCCATCAGTATAATAATCTTCTCTTTGTTTTCAAACACTGGAAAAATATCAATTTAAAAATCAATTACGAATTATATTTCAAATAAACAATGATTGGGTCTTGGTATAATTTGTTATTTTGGTAGCATCATGGTAGCATGAAAAACTGAATTAAATAAGGAATTATGGTTCAAATATGCATTGATCGAATCTTGGTAAAATATGTTATTTTGATAGATAATGATTTTAGCATGCATCCGATTTGCTTGCATAATTGTTTTCCAATTACAATAATGAACATTATTTTAATCATGTCTGTTGATAACTCTTTTTACAAGTTACAACATGTTTCAATCCAGGTCTCATCCCTAGATCCCCAGACCCTTTGATCCCTGGATGATTCCAACTGATCACATTTGATCCCTGGATGATTCCAACTGATCATGTTTGACCCCTAATTAATTCCACCAGATCCCGTTTGATCCCTGGATGATTCCAACAGATAAGATCCTGTTGTAACCATACATGAAAGAGGTGCAAACCAGTTAAAACTGCATGTATTCCAAACCACGTTTTGAAAATCTTTCCAATAACAACCCCAACCGAGCTTGTTTTGACCACAACCGACTGACGCATCTGGCAACACATCACAATGTGAACAAGAGCAATTGGAAACATTTCAGTTTTTTCAAACTGTGCCTGAACAAGGTTTGCATAATTCACCAAAGTTTCTTCCACATGCTTCCAATAACAGTTGATACAGTGTGGGTGGATTATCTTATTAAATAAAATGTTTATTTATGGGTTGACATGTGTGATGCATATGTGTACATGTCGATTAGATTATGGCTAAAATGATGATGAGTGAAACATATAACGGGACATTTTGAATTGTATACAATCAACTACCAAAAACACATATCATAATCATACATGTAAGAAAGGAAACGTCCATACATGTATATTGAAGACATAAAAAGTTGCAATTCCAAAAACTGATTCCAAATTGATGCAAGTTGGACTCACATGCAAAACTCCGAAAATACAAGGGTGTTGCCATTAAGAGCAAAGTGCAAGTACCAGAGGAACAATACAGTACAAGTTACCAATTACAGTATATAAATGTAAATAATACTGCTTCTTTGCTCAATAATAATAATAAACAAATTCAAAACAAATAGAGGCCCATGACATTTTGTATCTAAGTACAAGTACAGCAGATCCTGTAAAATGGAACTCCTCTAGAAGTGGAACTCCTCTAGAAGTGGAACTCCTCTAGAAGTGGAACACCACTGTTATTAGAACACGTTTGAGATTCCCCAAGACAAACTAACTTAAAATGTTAACTGGAGGTGAAATACCTCCAAAGTGGAACACTTTTTATATGTGCCAAATGTGTTCCACTTAGACAGGTTTTACTGTACTCCATTATAACCTTAACATGTAACTCTGGTTATGATGATCTGAACCTTAATAGATTTTTTGATCATGAATAATCTCAATGTTTGCTCATTATACAAAGAGGCATTAAATGTTTTTAATGTTTGATAACTGGTTGTTAGGAGATTTACATTCTATTAAAGTTAAAACACCAACTTCCTTACAATTTGAAGTAGAGGTTGAGACAATATTGAGTGGAATGCACTGTGCAGTTCTTTTAAGATGAGAAGAACATTCACATTTATATTGTGTATGGACAACGATGACATTCAAAAGCAGCATGGGGTCGATGAACTTGAGGAAACTTGAGGGAACTTGAGGGTTTCTTCGTAACAAGAGATATAGTGGCATTTCATACTTTTATAGAAATTGTAGTTTTAGGACATTACCCCCTAAGCAAATATAAATAAATACTGTACTTTATACTATGACTATTACTGAACTTATGGTAAAAATTTTGTGTCTCTGGTTCAGCTGGAATCCAAATGCATTGTATAACTTTAGTCCTTATAGCTTTACATAAAGAACAATTATACTGTATAGTACAGTAATTTATAGGCCTATAGGGGAAAAACTAGGTTTAGATTCTCAACCCTAACGTTAAAATAATATTTTGTGCTACCTCGATGAAACAAGACAGTGTCAAGGTGACCTTTTAATTTAAAAGTAGAATAAACACTTTTTGAATATTCTATTAATGGTACAATGCTCAATACATATTTCAACAAAGGTGTTTACCTAGCAATGAATTAAATTTGAATGATTTGTATTCAATTATATTTTATAGTGCCCTACGATAAAATTGTCTTAAAGATAAAACTTGCATGACTTTTTAACATGAACCGATCATTATTTAAAACATTAAAGGCTAAAAAACTAATTATTGCTCTGAATGATGTACAAATGTCAATATTAAAATGTCATGAAAAGTAAAACACTAACATTCATCAGATTCTTTCACGACACGTTTCCTGATCATGGGGACTTTGAAATACCTTATAAATTACTTGTTCAAGCAGTAGGTATATATTTGAGCAAGTTTAAGTGATAGGTCATGGTGACACATTTACAAAAAGCTTGAACTTATAAATCAAACCTTAACAAATTGGGGGTACCTAGGCAGCGAAGAAACGACATGAGCTCTCTAAAGCAGACATTTTCTTTATAAAAATAAATGTCTCTATTTATTTTATACATATTACAGTGAGTTTGGGATTAAGTATAAAAAAACTAAAACTTCATTCTCATGGGATCCCTAAAAATCATATACATATACTTCCTCTATATAGATGTTAGCCCGAAGATGCTACTGCATGTCTGAGGTCCTGAAATGAGCATTGCCCAAGGATTCAGGAATTCTTTACACATTTTTTAGTTCAAATCAGGAAGTGTTTGCCCTGTAGGAAGCAAATGTGATATATTGCATATTACTTCTACATCTACCTTTGATAATATTAAAACTTAAAATTTATATCAAACTGATATAGAGGCTGCAGCTGCATGCAGTAAATTTCTGTGCATTTGGTAAAAAATATGCATTTGGCATAAAATTATGCATTTGGTAAAAATAGTCGTTTGAAACAAATATATGCATTTAGTAAAAATATTCATTTGACACAAAAATATATATTTGGTAAAAATATGCATTTGGTATAAAAATATGCATTGGTGACCTTAGAATATATATCTCACTAAATGAAATGTTAAGATAAACCAATGCTGAGTAGCTCAAAACATTTAATAACACTTGAAGCAAAACTTGGCAATGAACAATGATTGACTTAGTTTTCAGATAAAATTGTGATTATTTATCAGTAGCTTACTTGTAAGTAAGTAGTGAACAAGTTCAAAGAATGTGCGTTAAATATTTAGGTAATAACTCAGATAAGCAACATATGACAAAACACTTATAAATATTAAGTAATTCGAAGAATTCATTTGAAGAGTTTTGTTTTTTTCTGTTAAAAATCATGGAGATGACCCATTGTTTGACATCACGGCCTCCTATCAGTTTTCTTTCAAAACGTATGTAAGTAATTGCTAGTTGCAAAGGAGGACGAAAAGATGAGATTCAGAATGAGCATGAAGGTTCACACTACATTGGTGCTGCATACTAACTGGGAGGAATGCCCAGAAGTGAGCTTATTTTTAAGGCTGCTCAATTACAGACTTTACAAAATCCTTAACACTAAAATGGCTGTAAAATTTGCAAAAGCCATGATAAACCATGACATCACATTTTTTCTCAGCTTTTGAGATTTTTCTGGTGAAACAGAAAGATGCTCTGTGAATGAAGGAAAACTGCTAGCTTTTTCCAGCATGTATATAGATACATAACATGGCAACTCAAGTCCATAATTCAATTTTGACCAGTTGTTCAAAATGGACTGAGGTTATGATCATGATGCACCCTCTTCATTACGCATTGCTTGTGACTCAGGAATTTCCTTTTATATTATAATTTCTATTTCATATGCCCTTTTGACCATCTGTAATGAAGATACAATTAATCTAGCATAGGAAATGGTCCCAATAGTAAATTAATGGCCATTAATAAATGAACTAAATGCTGTTACTTCTAAACCAGATGTCCAATGGTTTTCTACTGAAATGACAAATGAGGAAATATTGTAACAGAAAAATTGTGGCAGCATTTCTTATCAGATTGTCTTTAGCCATTGAGATATTACAATGTAGTAATTACTGAAATCATCAGAACTATTTAATTCATGAAATAGAATGAGGCTATTCATAAGAATAGAATAGAAGCCAATCCTTGATTCCAAGAATTTGAAGTTTTTCTCGTTACTATAGCAATATCAATTTGTCAGGCTTGCAATGAGTCCATTGCATGATTAGCAACCAGGTTGTCAAGTCCATTGGCAAGATAAAAAAAGTGACAGCCATTCTAAAGCTTCAGTATGTAGAATTTCATTATCACTGTACAACAAAACTCGTCTAGTCCAAACATCAATGGAAATGGTCAAAGTGTTTAGATAAAGAGGATCTTACATTCCAAGGTTTCTTAACATCGATATCTGAATCAATGGACAATACAAAAGTGGGGCCAAGGAGAAGTAATCACCTTCAGGAATGTTCTGATCACTGAGGTGTTCATATATACAGGTTTTACTATAATTCATGATACTTTTTCAGAATAGTTTCTGTAATATGAATTCAGAATTGCTCCATACCTTCATATATGTGTATAATATGTGGGTGATTCAGAGATGTCATGATGTCAATCTCACGTCGTATCCTTTGCAGATCCTGCTCACTCTGGATCTTTGTCTTGCGTATTGACTTGATCGCCACCTGAAACAATACAAGTAACATTAGCATATTGACTTGGTAGCGAATTGTCTAAAAACAAAACAAATACCATGTAACTAACAATTAAAATCAACAATAAAATAAAGAATAATGTAACATTGATAACAAGTATAGATATTTTATCTTAAAGACACTGGACCCCCTAATCTTCTTCACGTAGAAAAGGGTGAGGGTATACAGTATATAAAATATTTACAATGTTTTCACTTGATTGCTACTTTGAAGAGAAATATAAGTTAATAAAATATAAAGTAATCATCACTTGAACAAAATGACTAATCATAATGGTACAAAAAAACAATAACTGAAACAATGATTGACAATAATACTGAAATGATATAAGTATAAAATACAAGGACTCAATGGTATTTATAGCTTAGTTACATTATATGTTTTCAATCAATACATGTTTACATATTTAAACACAGGGAGGTACCAATAAAATAGCCGTACTTCACAAACAAAGAAATCATTTTTTCATCACATAAAACAAGTAGCCTACTTCTATTGAAATGAAAATAATGACACATTTTCTCTGCCAAAAATTCCAGTGTTTCATTTCGAACAACCATTCTATAAATAGCAAGAACTAAGGCGAAATCATGACTTATCTATTCCCGTGGTTAAGTGACTCAATTCTACTGAAAGGAACAGGTTGCATTTGAGTCATAATGTGGTTTCTTTTGTTTGTGATATGACTGATTACCCTACATGTTATCATTGGACATGTACGGTTATTATATGAAAACCACATAAGTATTGTTGATAGAAAACATTAGAGATAAGGAACTCTTCAATGCACAGGTGGAAATCCTCATTATAAAGTTGTTCAAGTGGTTACGATAGATTAAATAGAAAACTCAAATAGTTCTCGATTTCCCCGATATGTCCTCCTAACTTCCTTATAATGTTCATAACAAATAAATCAAGAATGGTGATTTATATGAACTATTTTGGCTTGCTCTATTTACTGAACTAAGAGAGAGATGTGCGGTACAATTTTTTAAATTTACAATAATTTTGATATATTAATGTGTTTGAAATCTTGCCCAAATCACCTTACTTGTAAATGTTTTCTTATGACGTTATTAAGCATGATTGTGAAATAATATTTCACTAAGCGGGCCATTCAACTCTATGACTCCTGCAAATCATTTTACAGTTTTAACGTTCACTAAATCTTCATGATCTCAAATGTAACGACCATTCTATCCAGAATTGAACATGAACTTATGGGGAACAGCTACTTATAGGGAGAAACCCATTCTTATACTCATAGCATCTCTCTGTTGCATCACAGATCTCTCCAGCAGGACAAAGATGGAGAGGGTGTGGCTTATCACGAAAGGAGAATACAAATTGTTATACAATCCTTTTGATTCCACACGATATTCTGGTAAGATAAATCCGAGACCAACAAATGATTTCCACTTGTAGATACAGCCAATCTTTCGCAAAGGGTAATACCTTATTCAACAGCAATATATTATTCTACTATGGCTTATTGAACAGGGTGACTCACTCCTCTGCATTGATGTAGGCTGTATACTTCAATATATTGCAATCAACCAGGGGGCTGTGACATATTCTGCATAAAGTACATAAACCACATATATGAGATCATCTATATTGATGTATAAATGCTATATCAACTTCAATATTTCCTAATAGGCCTCTAAATTCTCAAATAAATGTTGATTAAATGTTTACTTAACTTATGGATAGAGGTCCATGCTTAACTTAAGGAAATATTTTTAGAAGTGTTTCCCTAAAGGAGTGTTTACTAAAGAGGGGTGTTTATTATATGTGAATACTTGTAACCATATCGAGGTGTTTCAACAGTGACACAGAGGTGTTTATATTTGGGTGTTTTCTAGAGGTGCTCTTTATTAAAGCCTGTTTAAATGTTCTGCCTTTTGTGTTCACAATCAAGTCATGTCAACATTTCTAGTTAAGTTCTACTTAGGATATGTTCTTGACAAGATTTACAATAAATGTACATGTATGTATTAACATATCACTCTTCAGAATTATCAGAATACATGAATGGTTGAATCATACAATAACAGAGTAAGAAAAATATTAACATTGGATGATTGGAGTAAAAGTTCATGACTTAATGCTAAAGATAATAAACGCCTATTTACGTTGCATCCTCTTTCATTCTTACTTATCTCTTGGTTATAAATGTAAATGAAGTGTCTATTACATACGATCACTTGTACATGTAAATAAAGACACCACCCACCCATTTTCACACATAAGTGTTATTATTATATTGTTATGATTTTGTATGTATATGTACATATAAACAAAGATGACCAACACTTCCCCCAACTTAACCCTGCTCACAGAGTCTAGTTATAGATGAAGCTCTCTTTTAAGAAGCGAAGTCGAACATATACAAGGGTACCTTGCCATTTAACCTATACATATAAGGAGAACATGGTTCTACTGATAGCCAAAGGACAAAGTCAATATTTTGATATTATCCCAAAACATTATTTTAGTACATATCAGATTGATTTCCTCGATCCCCCCAAAAAAAGGTTTTACATTTAACATTTTTTCACAATAAAAGTGTCCTTCTTCTATGTATACTAACAAATTTACATTTTCTTTAAATACATTCAGTAGACAGATCATCTTTATCAAAGTGAAGGGACATGTACAGATACATGTATATCAATCAATATTTTACTGAAAGGATATGCACTGATATCGTTCAGAATGCAGATATCAACTGAATACAAGAGAAACACTTTCAGAGATATCTCCCTAATGTATGCCTATCAATACTGAGAAATCACATTTAGATTGAACAAACTTGATATTAGCATGAGTAACTTGAGCTCAAGCAATATTCAGTTTTTAAACAGGTTACTGACAGGTATGTTTTTATTAATGTAGGTAAATTACCATGAAGTAGCACACCCATATCAGTTTTAACCAATGTATATATAATTGTATGGAACCATAGACTTCACATTAATAAATAGAAATTAATACTTTAGTTTGCGAATAGGGTTATAACCTTGAAGGGAAATTGACAATTATGATGGAATGTCTGAAAATTTAAAATGAATTTCAATGAAAATTCCAGAGTGTCAAAATTCAAGGGTGTCAGACACTTCATTTAGCTGTTTACATGGTGTGTCAAAAGTATGGAAACTGGTATAGAAAATGTAACTCCATTCCTCCTTATCTAACAAGAGGCTGTAACCAAGGTAACCAAAATATGGTACATAATACACCATTTAGAAAGATAAGGAGGATGGGAAGTTACATCCCAGACCATATTACATGAATTAACATAGCTCTGTAATTGATAACTTATCATAAAAGCTATATTTAATTGATGATGTCATGAACATTAGTAAGGTAACAGGTGTCTCCAATTGATTGTGGATATTATATGAAATGATGGGTAAATTAGTTGTCAATGAAAACTCAAAAACTCTAGCCAGTCCTTCGGGAGATATGCTTTATATTATAATTATTACTGATAATCAAAATTGCTAGTTGAAAAACAGAAAGGTGCCAGACCCGTAGCCAGGGGGTTTAGGTGTAGAGTGAATCCCCTGGCCAAAAATTCTTTCAAAATCATGCAATTTTCACCATTCTGAGCACTTTTCAAGTGATTTTGGGTCAAATGTGAACTCTCCTGAAATTAAAGTGAACCCCCTTGGCAAAAGCTGGCAATTAGCCTGGGAGTGATAGGGAGAAGATTCTAAGAGAGGCTTGTTTGAGCTTTATTAGCATATATTGCTTGTTATTGCATCTTTCATTTAAAGAGCTTCATTTATTTTTCAATTCATGGAAAGAAGTGAAATATCCTTGGAATAAGAATGCTTTATTGTGGTTCATATCAGAACAAGACTCCTTTACTCCAAACAAAAACAGAAGCATCAAGATTTCATTCTACCGAACATCTTGAATCTTCCCAGGGAAATTCAAATTCATTACCTCAAGTGATAGCCCAACTGAACCCAAACAATAACATTAATTCCCAATCTGATGAACTCAAATAACATGAGGCATAGCATTAAACTTAAAAGATAATTGTTCAAAGACTTCTACCCTGAGATCACCAGGAAGTATATTAACATACCCTCTGACGAAGACAATATGTTTTAACCAGGGAGCTACATGAATGCTATAATCAGGCCCATAGCCATGAGAGAGGGGATCCAAAAACTCTTTCAAAATCATGCAGTTTTCAGCACCCTGAGCCCTTTTCAAGTGATTTAGGGCCAACATTGTCTATTGTGAACCCCTTGAACTTTTTGAAAAGTGAACCTCCCTGGCAAAAGCTGACTATGGGCCTGCATAATATGCAATGTTTGAATATGGGCTTTCAAGAGAGGGATGGCCTCCTCTGATTGGGTCAGTGTGTGAAGTCAAGGGCGTACCAGTCATATACAGAGTACATGAATTCGGGTTTTTATCAGTTATCTACAGAGTGTAACAGATACTCTTATTTCCAATATCACCAAGGGTAGGACAGGACAGTGGTGTTTACAAATATCTCAGGATGTAAACAGATTCCAGACATAAGATAATTCCAAACACTCCAGATCTAAACATCCGATCTCAATTAATTAAGTTCTAAACATAAGATACCACATCAAATGTTACTGAAAGACTATAACAAACACTATATCAATAAATATCTGATTACTGTAATCCTATAGAGAGACCCAGTCAAAAATGAAATAAATTGTAATTTGTGATTAACTGAAAATTGACAATTTCAAAGGATTTTCCCATTATGCCAAATCCCAGAGGAACATAGTTCAGAGATGGTTCAAAAGGAACTTATTTATAGGAACTATGGTACAATTTCCTATTGCATTTATAGTATATAACTGTATAATAGGCCAAAATGCAAGTATAAAATGTTACAATTTGATTTTCTGTTTTGAAGAACATTCCTTTTAATGTGTTATAAATGCTATAAATACTCATTGATGTGCCAAAAT